GGTACCAAGCTGTGGCGTAACCACCCGAAATAACATACTTACGGAGGCGCTTGTCTACCACCGGACACTAAGCACCCGAAAGCAACTTCTAACGAAGCGGTATCCGTCGGGGCACACCCGGGAGAACCCGAAAGATCCACATTTATCCCAAGGATCCAATAATGAAAACGAGTTTACAACACAAGTCCATCTCATACATTAGAGTTTCTTAAAAGTACATTATTACAATACCAAATACAGAGTGCGGAATGATAAACAACGAATATTAAAAGATAACATCTAGCGATAAGATAACGAGGATTCCGTGAGCCCACCAGATGGATCCTCCACACAAGGAACTCCTCAAGCATCACCGCAATAGGGGTAATAAACCCCGAGTACACAATGTACTGTACAAGACTTATCCGATCGGTGGGAATACTTTCCCGACTCCAAGGAATATGCTAGGCTTTATGGTTGCTTTGGTTCTCTTTAGCCAAAAGCGTAACTAATAGTGGGTCCTTATTGATACATTATTATCATCACCGTATTAAGTTTTTATCTAGTCAATCTATATAAGCACCGTGCTACTTTCAAGCAAGAGTTGAGCAATCGTTCTCGTTCCTTCTCCTTTTCCACTTCAGTTCTTACTACGGTGCTAAACCGCAGACAAGCCGTCTTCGGATAACCCGGCGATTCACGAATCAATGTACCCAAATGGGTGCCCGAAGACACTACGCCCGCTTGTACCCTGTGCACAAGCAGGACTAACCCACCACTCTCTCCGTCTCGGTGTCCGTGTCCCCGTCCCAAACTTGGACTCCAAGCCCCGCCTCTCTGAATCCCGGACTCAATGCGGTGCAAGGACCTCCACCACCTCCTCTTCCCATCACCGGGTCCGGAAAGAGCCGGATCCACGACAAGAGAGCAGCAAGTCTTCACTGCGCCCATACCCAAGTATGTGCTCGAGACAATAGTCTGTGACTTGCCTAGAGTCATATGCAACGACCGGTCCTTAATCGACACAGGCAGGGAAAAAGTGTAACCGGGCTATGCCCTATTGGCCGCAGGACACAACCCCTCACACCCACCAAAGTACCAAATCCACATCCTGTCCGGCCACCATTTTTCCTTTCCATTATTTCATCATGATATCATAGTGTAATCACCTATTTGCGAGTAACGACAGGTTACTCACGCTACCGACATCCTGAGCATAGCAGCTACTCGACCTGCACTAGTAGGACTCATGGTGGATATATCTATGCATGTAGTTTTCATAAAATGCCATAACGTAAATGCATATCATATAAATATATTCAAGATCATTTAAAAATAGGGGTTATGCACCGGGCTTGCCTTGAGCAGTGCCGGGTCAAAAAAGTCGGCACCAACAGAGCTCCTGGCTTCCTCTGTGCGAAGATCTCCTCCTCGTACTCCTCGATCACCTCGTCATTCGTCCGGCTCGACGACGAGCACTGAAGTCTACCACTTTCGTGATCTATATGCATGAAATGATGATGCAATGCTTAGGAATATAACAACAAAGACTCTCAAATTAAAAGTACATTGATTTAGCTACTAAGCTATGGATATCGACCACGGTACTAGGCTACCTATTGTCACCGATAACCATTTCAAGTATCATTATTGTTATAGCAATCATGGCTATTCTTACCCCTAATGCTAGTTTACGCTATATACGATAAAGCAAAGGGAATAGCTACTCTATCTAACAACTCGTTCTAAGGCTACAAAGTTTACAGCAAGTACATGATATCCTAGTGAACCTACTGTAAAATTTTCAAAGCTAAAACTATTACCGATTTGCCACAATAATTCCTATAATTATTAATCTATATAATGCTAAGCTTCCTAATTAAAATTTATGAACCTATCATCATAATAGCTAACTGCAATTTAACTGTACTAATAAGTAGATGGTATTTTTGTGAACCTAACAAACTTAGTTTCACTATTTTAGGATGTCTACACAATTTACTATCATTTATCAAAGTTCAGCGCATAACTAAATTAAATAAGCATTTCTATTTTACTGGAAATCAAGGAAACCGAATCTTAACTTGTGGCTAACAATGCAAAATAATGCAATGAGTGCCAGGCAATGTGGCGCTGCCCAACATGTGCAAATGAATAATGCAAAGACAGAAGCCAAGGTGTGGCAATGTGGCTGTGTAATGCAACAATGGCAATGAAAGCCAAATAGCAAAGACGGCAACAGGCAATGGCAAGACTGTGACGATGGCGCATGCATAAAGAAGTGCCAGAAGTGTGAATACAAAGTATGTGGGCGCAGCGGCGATGCGCGCGCAGGCTAAGTAGCTAGCAATGGCAACAAAGAGGTGGGCGAGCGAAGCAGCAAACAGACCGGACCAAGATGTATTTCAATGTATTTCGGGCTTTATTTTCCTACATAAAAGCGGCCACAAAACATGTGTGACGTAGGGGTGACGTCATGGTGACGTCAGCAAGCTAACAACAACAAGATCGCACCACGCACCTGGTCGCACCGCTTTCTTGCTCGGACGCAGTCGCGGTGGAATTCGTCGGCCGCCGCTACTAGCTCGATCTGAGTAAGAGCGCGATGTGAATATTGCTAATCGGGAAGTGGTGGAGTGCTGCTAGACTACTTTGCGAGGCGCGATCGCGTTCGAACTTAAAGCGGCCGTGGTGACGAGAACTTGCATGGAAGCCCCGACATCGTACTACAGCATAGTGACGAGTTAGGCACCGTTATGTACTGCACTCGTCCTTCACACGTGCATGATAACAAAGGGTGGGTCATCTCAGTGGTTTGGCCGACCACCGTCTAAGACAACGTGATGACAAAATTTGCGTGCTTTGTGTGCAACATGAAAAGGAGAGCCAATTGCATGCATGCGTTCATTAGCCTTTTTGTTTAATAAAAATTCGTTTAGGACATCAATAATATAACGTGACATGAAACTTAACATTTATTTCTTGTTTCGGATAAATGTTTCAATGCCGTATATTGATTTATACTCCCAATTACACACATGTACAAACAAGTATGATGCTAATGCAGTGTTTTAGCAAAAACATTACATTATAACACCGAGGGTGTTACAAGCGCCGTCGATGCCACGGTCAATGCCAGAGGATAGGGATGACATGTGGGGGGCGGCTGTCAGTGAGAGAGAGAGAGAATAGTGTATTTTGATATTTTTGATTTTGAATAGTGCTGAATCTTTGGAAATTTGTAGGAAAATAATCATAGCTCCAAAAATTCTGAAAATTTGTGTGTATCTTCTGTACATGTTCTATTATGGTTCAAAAATTTGAAACTTGAAACTTGAATAATTTTTTAATGTTCAAAAATTCAGTCAATTAATTGATAAATGCAATTTCCATAATTTTTTGTAGGTCATTGTATAGCTCCAAAAATTATGAAATTTATTTTGGTACACTAATTTGTTATGAGGAAGCTTACATAAAATTTTGAGGTCATTTGGAACAAGTTTATTTTTGGGCTTATTTCCAAATTAATTAAAAATTGAATAAAAGCAAACCCTAATTGTTAGGGTTAGGGTTTGATCTTGTTGGGTCATGTTGTGTGACCAATAGGGTTTCAAGATCAATTTGGTCAAGTCGCTTAGGTCCACACGAGGCTAGACATCGCATTCGCTATGGGCTACGTTAGTCGCTTCATGGAGGATCCCAGAGAGGATCACTGGGCTGCAGTGAAGTGGCTACTACGCTATATCAAGGGGACGGTGGATCACGGGATTGTCTTCCCCAAGACCGGTGGAAGTAGGCTACAGCTCACTGTCTTCAGCGATACAGACATGGCGGGGACATCGACGGACGACGAAGCACCTCTGGCGTGCTCGTCTTCCTCGGGTCGGGTCCAATTTCATGGTCATCATCAAAAGTAAGGTGGTGGCGCTTTCTACGTCGCGAGGCGAGTATCGTAGCGGCGCGTACCACAATGGCGTGCCAAGTTGTGTGGCTGCGTCGGCTCTTTGGGGGCGAAATGACCGCGGAAGCTCACCTACCAAAGACGATGGTGGACAACCAGCCCACCATCGCCCTCACGAAGAATCCAGTTCTGCACGACTGGAGTAAACACATCGACGTGAAGTTCCACTTCCTCAGGGGCTGTGTCGATGGAGGGCAGATCGTCATCGAGTTCATCGAAACTAGTCGGCAACTCGCGGATGTCCTCACCAAGCCGCTCGGACGTCTTCAACTCACGGAGCTGAAGGAGATGATCGATATGGAGGGGGTACAAGGGATAGCAGTATGATTAAGGGAAGAATTGTTAGAATAATCTACTGTTTTCCTTGTGTGAACACATCAAGGGAAGGCGGCGCCGAAAAAGCCCTCTCGTTGTGGATATCAGAGTCAGCTTGCAGCGCAGCAGCCATATGCGGCTCACCTATAGCATCAGAGCCATATCACGAGAGGCCGGCCAGAGTCAGCCACCGATGTTATCTAGTCACTGTTGCAGCAGGGCAGCTGTACTAGGACTAGATGGATAGAATTGTATAAATAGACTACCACGGCAACTCAGTAAAGAGAGTTCAGATTTGCCATCTCCCATATAGGGCTTCGGCCAACGCTGGTGTCTTGTACTGTGTGTGTATGCTTTGTTCTCACTCTTCTTCAACCTCTAGTCATAGTGTGGGGACGGACAACGCTTGTTCGTGGTCGGCTTAACTAGTGGGTGCTCGGCAAGACTGATGAGTGGTTCACTCACCTGAGCCGGTGATCATGTGGGCTAACAATTACGTCATGCTGACATGCTTGCATGTCATTTGGTCATCCTTGCTTATTCCTGTTGCTGTCTCTTATTCTTCTGACTTTTGATTGGCAGTGTCAAATCTACCACAAGTAACGTGTTACTACTATGTATGTATTGTTCTTTTCTCATGCATGGATACAATGCAAACATATAGTAAGTCTCCTACTGAAAGTAATCTGAACCAATAAAATTAACCTATCTAACTGACGTGTATTTGTCTTCTTTGTTTGATATTCTAGAACATCATTGGAACTGAGCAGCAGGCGTCGGACAGATCCATGAGGTCGACGACCTGCTCGGCGGCCTCTTCGAACAGCCACTTCTCGATCGGAGACAGCGGCCCCTGCTGGTGGTGTTGCTGCTTGGGCTCGTTGTCGTAACCGCGGTGTCCCATCGTCAACGCCGGCTGCTGCGGCGGCTGTGGCGACGGCAGCATGTCGTCGCTGAATGGTGGCAGTGTATTACTGCCGCCCGACATGTGGTTCAACGACAGCAAAGGGTTGATGTCGGTGGCAGAGGGCTTGATGTCGGCGGTGGCGTCGTTCTGCGGTGGTGGGGAACTCTTCATGAATCCGTTGAGCAGCTTGGATATGTTGTCCATGCTGGAGGCGTACGACGACGAGGAGCTGTCACCGTCGGTGGCGGCGAACGGCGAGCGCCGCCGGGCGATGAGCTGGGTGACCTCGTCGGCCGGGTTGCTGCAGGCTGCTGGACGCGCGAAGTTGTAGTCCTTGCTGCCGATTATGTCATGATGGAGATCGACATGATGGCTGGCGCCGGCGGTGGTAGGTACGATGGAAGAAGATTCAGAGGGGGGAGGTGGCGCGAAGATCGCGCCGATGGCTTGGTGTTTCTTGAGCTTCTTCTTGAGGTGGGTGTTCCAGTAGTTCTTGATGTCATTGTCGGTCCTCTGAGGGAGGTAAGAAGCTATGGCTGCCCATCTGCATATCACAAGGCTAATCACCATTTCCATACTGCCATGTTGCTAGGTGAAGAGAGGAAGAATTCTATTGCAGCCAGGATGTGTACGTACCTGTTGCCTAGCAAGGACTGGAGGTGGACGATGATGCCTTCCTCATGCGGGGTGAAGTTGCCTCGGCGGATTCCGGGGCGGAGGTAGTTGGTCCAGCGGAGGCGGCAGCTCTTGCTGCAGCGCATCAGGCCGGTGTTGATGGGCACGGAACGCCAGTTGCCCGGGCCGTGCTCCTGGATGTAGGACACCAGGATGATGTCCTCCTCCGGCGTCCATGTCCCCTTCTTGATCCCAACCTTGTCGCAGCACGGCGGCCTCCCCATCGTCTCCGGCGGCCGGTGGCAGCTGCCTGCAGTGTAGCAGTAGTTGTGGTGGCAGCTAGTAGTACCCTACTGTTGTCTATGAAGCGTGTGCCGGCCGGTTATATATATAGGACAAGAGGTGAATGTGAGTGAGCTCCTTTTCACTTGCTATCATCTAACTAACCTACTAGCAGCCAGCAACTAACTACCTTGTTCTCGCTGATGATCTCTTTTTTTCACTCAGGCAGCTTGCATGCTTTCGCTTTCTGTCAAGGACATCACATGAATAGAGAAGTTGACCCAAGTCCACTTCCAATTTAAAGCAAGGATTACCTAGAGGAACAGTTTGCTACTGTTGGATACTGTGTGGAATTTAAAGCTAGACTTTTGCACGTACTCCACTTACTCGAGGCATTTTGTTCTGCCGTGTAGGAGCCAAATGGCGGTTGCCAGGACCCAAAAGTTGGATGATAGCTAGGTTCCAACAAAAGGTCTTGTAATTTTCTTCTTTTAGAAAAAAAATGGACAATTGTTTTTGACCTGTAATGATTCTGTCTCTCCATAGATGAAGTACACTGGACTGCTATATCTCTAATAGAAATATACATAGGAATTTTACTAGCACAGAGTTGTACAGGTCATCAGCTTGCATGCACACAAAGATTAAGCCCCCTTTTAATTAAAAACCTTAGCTAGTTTATCTATATATGGATACCTAAGTTCTTTGCTGGTTAGTAATTAAATGGGCCCATATATGTAAGATTTTATCAAGTTCATATATGCAGGTAGGTCTGAGCTCTTAAAAAGCAACTTGTGAGTTGTGACTAGGCCCGCGTGCAGTGTGCCTACTACACTCCAGCCTCACCCTCTTCAATTGATAAAAATTAATAGAAAAAAAAAACTAATCCATTAATCAGATTATTTCCACAGCTAGCACTGGGATTCAGTACTCAGTGGCCACTTCTATCATGCCCCAGTTTTTCTTCTTCTTTTTTTGTTTCCTATTATTGTCTGCCTGGACTCTGGATCACAAGTTCACAACAAAGTCGACCAGGATATGATCGATGAGCTTGTATGCCAGTTGCTGCCTGAGAACGGAGGCCATGCTTGCATGTATGAGTATGACCTGGCCCCTCCTGCCATGGTGTACGGCCCTGCAGTAGTAGCATCTTGTTGTGCTTGTAGGATTTTTAGGTTCCACGTCACGCGTTCCTGTCATTGATGGGCAACAAGTCGCTCTAATCCTATTTATAAACCCACGTGGCCTTTTACTTGTTAGTATACCCTCACAAGCGTGATGCACGCCACTACTGTTCTTCAAACACTTGCGCAGCAACGCTTCTTCTTCTACTACTACTCTTTTTCTTCTTCTTTTTATTCGCAGCAACGCTTCTACTCCCTCCGTCCTAAATTACTATTTGTTTTAACTTTTCTAGTTACGTGATTTTTTTCTACGTATCTAGATATAACATATATGTAAGTGCATAGTAAAACATATGAATCTAGAAAAATCAAAATGAATAAATTTGGGATGGAGGGAGTAGTAATACATGTACGCAACATTTCAGCCTATAGGTCACTGAGCTCATTTATTTGTGCCCGCTCTTTCTGCAGTGCGAGAGTGTGTGTTATTTCGTGGTTCATATATATAATTTCCTACTCTCAACCATGCATCTTCTCATTTTTTCTTTCACCGCTACCAAAAAAAAAACATTTTTATAGGGGGCGACAACATGTTTATATAGACATTTCGCCACCACGTGCGATCTAAGAAACTAAATAGTATTAAGCAAACACATATATTCATGTACTTCCTAATAAGATTGAAAGCGTAAATGCGGTTTTTTATGATTCATGCCATGCAATTTTTAATTTTTGAAATTGCTAGCCAAAAATGTTGCCACCTTAAGGTCCAAAACGCCACACATATGCAATTTGGACCAAAGAAGTCTATTTCTGGTGCAAACACACATATCTGTGCAATTTTTTTTTGTATGCAGTACATCATATATATATCATAACCTTAGAAGTCTAGACACGCTTTGGATCAATTGCCGAACCGTATATATCTAGAACACAAAAGGCCCACTACAATTTAGAAATGATAGAAAATTGTGTGCAATAATACTCATGGATATTCAATTCACAGGCAGGCTAGAGATGTTTCCCATGAGTTATGGAGTCACAGTGAGTATAGTAGTCATCATCTCGTGTTGTCAATGCTTGTGTGCATCATATCAATTGGGTGCACCCATGGGAAAGAAAAGGACTCGCGGCTTAATTGCATGTGTGTGCACATATATATGGAGAAATATAATATATAGCAGCAGCAGCAGGGTGTGGACGAATAATAATAATAATAATAGTCCTAATATTACATCATACCACAAATATAGGGAAGGCTGCTTCATAATAATTAGGACCACTGTAGGGGGAGCAAATTAAACTAGTAAATAAATGAGGGAAAAGGAGCGTCATTATCTCCATTCAATCCTGTGTCGTGTCGTCGACCCATACCATCGACTTGACCTCACATTTCGAATTAAGGCTTTTGTTTAATTTTTTTCTTCGTTTAATTAGATCGATCATGACACTGTGCCTAAAGCCCTAAACTAATGCTATCAAGCTTGCAAGAGGCAGCCGGGAGCCGGCTGGCATTGCTACTTAATTACTCCTATCACAAAGTAAATGCCATTTTAAGCTAACACGTTTAAACTTTGACGGTCAACATATCTTGGAAGATTTCAACTGAAAGTTTAAAAGTGCTACGGCTAGATTTGTCTTGAAGAGTAGTTTCAAAATTTTATAACTTTGCTATTTGTAGTTTGCTTAATTATGTGTTTTACACTAGCAAAATTAGTGGTAAAATCAAGTATGAATCTATTGTATTGTTGAGACTACAGATCTTATTGCACAACAATCAACAAAATATTTTGTACAAAGTTGGTGTAATCGGGCGGTCAGCCGGGCACAGATGCATGTGGAGTCCTTGTGATCTGAGTTAGCGCCGGTGAAATAGGGATTGCTTGGACGACGACGATAGAGATATAGAGATGGTCCCTGCTGCAGGTCGTCAACAGGTCTCTCCACTAATAAAACCATTGGTCCATTGCGGATCTGAGAGGGCCACTCCACCTCCAACTGCATTGTTGCCAACTTGCTCATCATGTAGTCATGTGTGAGTGAAAGCTCTGGACCACCACCCTAGTGATCCTCAACATACAGGATATATACATGATCGTACTAACTATATATAACATGATCAAGAGAGGCTAGCTGGTCTACAAATTAATAAGCAGGCTGCTCTTGCATATGCAAATGTTTTACTCAGGTTCAAATTAAACCTGGTGATTCACATTTCTGGAAAGGTCTATTAAAAGTCAGGGAAAACTTTCTGGAGTGTGGGACATTTAAGATAAAAGATTGTTCACAAATCATATTTTGGGAGGACACTTGGGTGGGCTCTAAACCTCTTAGAGAGCAGTTTCCCAACCTTTTTAATATATTTAATTATCCTCGTGATATAGTGGTAAATGTTATGAACAAAAATCCACTGAATATTTCCTTTCGAAGAGCTCTAACAGGGGATAAATTAACTTCTTGGCACAACCTAGTAGCTAAAATATCCTTACAACAACTTTCACAAGGGAGGGACAGTTTTACCTGGGACTTACATCGACATGGATGTTTTATAGTATGTACCAGTATTTGATGAATCAGGGTACCCCTTCACCAATAAATTTATTTGGAATCTAAGAATTCCTCTAAAAATAAAAATATTCCTTTGGCATCTCCAACGAGGTGTAATTTTAACAAAGGATAATTTAGCTAAGAGGAATTGGGTTGGAAGTCAAAAGTGTTGTTTCTGTGATTGTAATGAAACAATTAAACATCACTGTCAACATGCTAAGACCATATGGAGAGTTGTTCATCTAGCTACTGGGTTAACCCCGCCTAGATCAATAAACACATATGCTTAGAAATTGGTTAACGGGCATACGAAAGAAGGATAAAAAATTAATCTTTGTTGGGGTTGCATCCGTTATTTGGGCTATTTGGTGCACACGTAATTACTTGATTTTTTAAGAAAAAAAACATTTTAATTCTTTTATGTAGGCTGTTTTCAGAGGAGCATATTGGCTGCGGTTCTGGTCCCTACTGTAGTGTGAGGACACAAGCGAGATCGTATGTTCGGCAAGCAAAGCACCGGAGGTTGTCGCTTTGGATATTTTTGCCAATAATGGATGGAGAAGCAATACAAATCACAGTATGACAAATAAGGCTGCTCGATGGAAGCCTTGGAAAGTTTGCATTACCTTGGTTTTGAGGTCTATCCAGCTGTACACTGACTGTGGTGGAAGTAGCGAGTACCAGTTCAGTGCTGCTCCTTCGCAGGCTATGATTAGGGACTTGGCTAAAACCACATCATCTCCTCCAGCAGATGCTACTGCAACCTCGTAGCTCATGAGGAACTGGCGAGGGTCATTTTGCCCATTGAATTTTGGTAGCGTGACCGCCTTGTAGGTTGTAGGCCACGGAGCTGTTTGCAAGCCCAAGGATAATGGAGAGTTTTTATCAACTGTTACGTATGTATTCGTCATCGTCGGGGCGTTGTGCCCAACGAGGTTGGGGTTTGCATGCGGGATAGGTGTGTCATTCATGACATGCTGCTTTCTCGGAAGTGGTGGTTGTGTTGGCGTGGAGCGCAAGTATTGCAGCTCATCCAACTCTTCTTGCAAATCCGCTAGCTGTTTTCTTGCTTTGTTTAATTTTGCTATTTTGTTGGTTGCTAGCCGTTGTGCTTGCAGTTCTTGAGCAAATCTTTCCTTTTCTTTTTTCAGTGTCTCGAGCTGCTTTAGCACCGAGGCTAACTCTTTCTCCGCCTCACTAAGTGGATCATTTCGTGTGCTTGTTTCTACACTACGGGAGAAGCAAAATTTGTCTGAGTGCCGCATGCTTTGCCGAGTGTCAAAAATAGGGCACTCGGCAAAGAGAGTGTTGCACTCGGCAAAGAATTGCAC